TTAACAAAAAATTGATCGGCGACGTGCACCGTTTTTACACAGACAAATTCGAATCTAATGCAGTTAACCAAATGAAAGAATATTATTTATCGTTTTGGAGAATTTTAAATTAAAATCCTCTAGGTAGTTATGATGTTGATAAGACTGCTGTGTTGTTGATCATAGAGCATTCCACATTAACCGTAGCGACTTCTTTCTATTTCAGCTCTGATGTGGAAGAAGTAACAATTGATCCAAACAGTCAATGGAAGCCTGTTCCTGTTAAACAGGAACCAAAAGATGACGAATGTCAAGGACCACAGCCGGCTAAGAAGGCTCGACCGTCTCCTCCTGACTCGTTACCGCTCTCTGGTGTTAGGACACCCACATCACAAATGTCCAGCAGTAGTGGACACTACTCGCCTTATCAAACGCAACCACCGTCTAACCCTGGTATGGGTGCACCTACTCCTCCTGGACGGACACCCCCTGAGTCTCACAGCTCATCAGGTGGAAATCAGCTGCAAGAGCATAACGCTAGCAATTCTGCAACGACGCAACCAGCGGCATCTACGCCCAGTGGTGAGTGACTGAGCAGTGTGCTGTTGAGAACAACATTTATTATATGCGCTTTTATGGTACTTTGTCTTTAATTTTTAACCTCTAAACGCATTCTAATTCAAGAGTGTCTTTGTTCTACTTCCTTAGGTGAAAAGATGACACCCAGTCCAGTCACTAGCCAAGCCACGACGCAAAGCAGCAACCACACTCGAGGTCCCGCCACTCCTCAAACTCCAGGGAGTCATACAAATCCAAAAGGTGCTGCTGAAAGAACGCAGCACTCGTCAAGCCTCTCCCAGCCGCCCGTGTCAGGGAATGCTGATAGCATTGCCGCCGACCTCGAACACGACAATCTTCCGGACGATTTTAACTTTGGTGTTCTGGAAGATCATGGCGGAGGAACTGATGGAGTGGAAGGCGCTTTAGACGTAAGTTGATATCCGGGGGGAAGTAGATTATTCTTTACATAAACTAATTTTCTTGTTTAATGGACTGTTCATATGACAGTGACAGCTGTGAGCGTAAATCGTTGTTCTGCTCTGAACCTCTCCAAACCTTTGGTTTGGCGTTGGGTTGTTCTGCATGCCTGAAAGCAAGTTATCACTCTAACTGCATAAGTGCGCGCAAAAACGGGTCATTTTCGTCGTTATGTCAGTGCTGCTTGCATGTACGAAGGTCTAAGGATCGGAGGTCAACATTGGCCATGCATCGTATTCTGACGTTGAGTGTGGTGACAATCTTATAGGTTTTACCTGGAACCCTCGACCCAGAAGAGCTTTTCAACTATCTGACGCCGTCCGACCTTCCCAGCGAAGATATCTTGTCCATGTTCGAGTAGCTTTGTCATGGTGATGTCGTTCGCTCACAGGAAAGATTCATGCTAGAAATATTTTACTTTGCTGTACTTGAAAATAGAGCGAATAATTTGTATTGAAGGGGTAGGTTGAAAGACCTCTACGTACTTTTTTTGTATAGTACAAATATTCTCAAGTTTACGTAGTTAAACAAAATTGATTATTGCTATAATACATTACTATTTGGAATGTTTTCTGTTTTTCTAGTGAAGTTTTGTCCTTACTTTTATGTGTAAACCCTTTTCAATTTTCATACTTCCTTTTGTGAGTAACTCTTTTTTTTTCTTATCCATCACTTCGGTTTCGTTTCGTACTATAATCTGATGTAAGGAGCAAGGAAAATTTTCTTGGTTGCGGCAGTTTTTTATCCTGGATATCTTGGCGGTTTGTGCTTTTTTACAGGCTGTGTAGTCAAAGCTATATTAGTGTCGTGGTGTATGTATAGTGATAAGGAAGCTATGATTTGGGTCAAACTCAAGCTGAAAATTTTATCTAACAGAGTACTAAGAAAGAGAGGCCATTTCCGTTGTGAGTCACACAAAGTACTCCACTTTGCACCTTGTACTCCTCAGGTGCGGGTGAAAGACAAAGAGAATTATTAATCATTCCAACATTTGGAATTAGTTCGGTAAATGCTATAATATATGCATAAATAAATTAAATGGGGCATGTAACCCTCATTGTGTACAAGCATAGAAATGAAGTAGAAGTATTCTTTTTCGTTTTAATTAGAGGGATTTATAGGTTTTAGTTACACGTAGGTAGCGCCATGACAGAAGTATTAGAACAAAATGTAGTATTGTGTTAATGAGATTTATCGTAGTAATGATAGCGTTAGGTATATTATCTAGAAAGGGACACGCATGATACTTGTTTCATAATCTCCTCTACAGAACATTCCTTCGTGGAATAACGTTGACCAAGTCGGTATTCTTCTTTCTTTCTTTCTTGGAATCTCGACTTTTAATTTTTTTTAACTGTCGGTTTTATTATTCACATCAGTCAAGAGTCTTTCGCCTGATGAAATATTTTACCACGTTTTTTTATTGTATTTTTATAAGTACGAGGTACAGCTCAGTATGAGCTTCTCATTTCTGCACTTCTATGTTATCACTCTCCTAAGAAGGACTTGACTTTTGATGACTCGTTGTTGTCAAAATGGAAGATTCAAGCAAAAGATTTGTCTCGAGAAGCGTCTTTCCTGTCTGGCAGTTAGTACAAATTTCTCGAACTTTTGTGTGCACATTCAAATCTTACTTTCATCAAACGCTTGAGCCATCCAATTTCTTTTCACGTGTGAACATTCAAAAACCTGTTACGAATTTGTCTTACTTTTCAAACCATTTCTGTCCTGCAGTATGAACAGTAACGACTTGTCTTTCACGAATTGGTTGACAGTTTTCCGTCTCTTCTTTTTTTTCCACATTCTTTTCTGATTCATAATATTGCAAGAGCTCGAACTTTACTTTCTTTTCCAGTCACAATTTTCTTTTTCCTTTGAAAACTTGCTTCAGATTGTTCGGGTAGCATTTATTTCAGGGAGAATACTTGTAAGCAAATTAATTTATTCAGATTCCAGGTAACATGATGTGTATTCCTTAGCCATTTCTAAGTTCAGAGACAAAATAAAACATGACTAAAAAAGTATTGCAAAGAGAGTCTGGGCGAAGACTGCCGACGGTTTGTGCGCGATTGTTTCCCCCCGTACGACTTTCAGATTTAAGAAGACGTTATTAGACGTAGTTGCGCTTTATTTGGTGGCATTTATGTCATGCTGTACATAAAGTGAACATGTATTTATATATCTATAAATAATGTATATCAAAATATGATCTAGTCTTTGTAAATACTCGTATGGAACGCATATCTGGAAAAATGAGATAGTTGGTTGGTAAAAGCCGCATTTCTGTTACTGTCGTTGTTAGCCTTTAGCCCAAGATGTTTCAAAATGTTAGGGAAAGACTTTAATTTATAGTAGTGCCGTAGTTCGCAGATTTATTTGGATAACACATCAAGTACTGGCTACGAAATGAGCACCACTCCAAAACCCCGTCTGAATCCACCGTAATAAGATTGAAGTGAGTTCGGAAATCTGTCATATTATTCTCTACTTCTACAAGCGACGCCGGACATTTTATGACGATCGTTTTCAGGGAAAAATGTGTTCAATGTAAGTTCGAGATTATAAGCGAAGTAAATCATTGTCATCTCTCTTGTAGTATCGATAGCATAGTAGATTTTATACCTATTTATAACTTAGAGTGTACAACTACAGTTCTGTAGGAGAGAACAAATTCTTACGAAGAAGGCTACGATAGACTTATTAAAGCCGCCTGTATGTGTAGATATTCTATATCTAAATTTTATAAGAAATAAAGGTCATTCAAGTCTTATTGTTGTTCACTATTGGATTTAGAGTAGTGGATTTTAGTGTAGTTTGGACCCACTGTCGCCCTTTACCCATTACTCCGATGATGTTTCGAAGTAATTTCACTCTGACGAAGGACCAATGCTCGAAACGTGAGCTTTGGAAACTCTTCAAGGAGGCAAATTCTCTACTCAGTTGATTAAACCAGATTATCTTGTAATAGCCCAACCGACGCCTCAAAACAATTTCTTTGGAAACCTACTCTTAATTTATACTTCGATGACTTGATCGGTGTACTATATTTCTCGGGGGATTAGTGAACAGGTTAAAAGTATAAGTTTGTAAGTTGTCTTAACTCGTAAATTACCTCGTGGGTAAAAGATTGAAATTTTATAAATTTATTTGTTAACCTTGTTAAAGGCGTGAGGTCACGATATCGGTTTGATTTTCCCGTCTGAACAATAATTAAACATAGTACTTGGAAATAGGAGTATTTTTGATCGCAACAATTGGAACGGCGGAATTATGGAGTTCTTGCCTCTATCTTATCCTTTTCAATTGTAAGTTTCAACCTTTCAATAGTTATAATCCTGAAGAGGTGCCTCCAGTTATCGAAAAAATAAGCATAGCAGACATAGCCGGTAGCCTGGTCCAATATCAAAGAATTCGTACCCCTTTATTGACGTCATATTAGTTTGCGAATTAAAATTCGAGTGCGGCTTTAGCGGCGGGTGTTTTTAATTAAACTTGCCATAAAAAACCCTAAGTTCTAGCAAAAGCGTGGCTTTGCAAATATTTTCGTAGAAAACATTGTTGAGGGTAAGGAGATGTCTAGGGGAATAAACGTGACTGTGACCGGCTATGGGTCGCAGATCTTTATGTGGCTCCGGAAGTTAAGGAACGCGTGGGTTCACTTCAAAAACTTGCATCAATGTAGATGAGGTACTTCCGAACACGATTGATTTGACATGAACTTCAAATTAAACGATAAAGAGAAAGGCGAGTCTAATTTCATTTCCAGTTTTTCATAAGGAAACATTAGATCACTAATTCTTGTCTTCCTTGTTTTCCAAATCGTTTTTGTTTTTCTTGTGATGTTTCGTGTCCGAACTTGTTCATTTTGTTTTCCTTAGCTTAGGAGCAAGCTCCTTATTAGGACTCTGACTCAGAGAAGGTTTTTTTAGAAGAAGTGAGGAGTTTTGGTAAGAACCTGGCACTAGTCTCTAATTGGCGGAAAAGTCACCTCACAATCGACTGAGCACGGTTTGACTAGCTGACGTGAACGACGTAAATTTGTTCATCGAAAGATTTATACCATACGTAGATAGTTGTGATTTCTCTTGATTTTACAATGTTCGGTCTTCAGTGTGTTAGTTCTTTAAGAGGTGCATTCGCCAGAAGCAAGAAATGCCTTCCTGCTGTTCAAAATGCTGTTGGAAAGATGTCGACGAGTTCTGATCCCAAAGATCCATCTTTCACTCAAATGTGTGAGGGGTTCTTTGAGAATGCGAGAGTATTCGTGGAACACAGGTTATTAACCAAGCCTGATCCACCAGGTTATCGTCCAGAAAAGTTTGAAGACAAGCAACACAGGATAAAAGGTAACAGCTCTCTTGAATTACCACCAGCGGCTGAGACTCGTCTTTCAACAAAATTAGATTAAGTCGCTCGACGGAACATTTCAGTGTTATTGTATAGGAGGTTTAAATAAATCGCCATTCGCGTGAACTGTACGATCGTCCAGGGTTAAATCTATTTGTTTTTTGTTGCTCATCTGAACCACAGCTTGGCGAGACTGGTGGATAGATGTCGGTAGATCTTTACCAGCTCGTGAAATGTGACCTCAGCCCCCATGATCTCTTACTTTCACTTTTGACATTCGCACGTAATTTTGAAAAATTTTAGACTAGAGAGTGAGGCATCAAGTTTTGAAGTCTCATTTCAGTATTTTAAGCTTAGATCCGATAAACGAAATTCTTATGCTTCAGCTAAAATTAATATTCAACCGGTTCTCGAAGCTTTTGTGACATTGCATTCACGCCCCCGACCATCCTCCGTTTTCTCCAAATATGGGCATACTGTTGTGTTCGAATCATGATGGCTTAAGCAAAACTTTTGTGTTGATAAAAAATAATGAGTTCACCATGATTATAGTGTTATAGCCTTAAATAAATGAACAGTCACATTCAGTAAGTGATTTGAAATACTTTGGTGTGTGCTCTCCCAAATGAGCTTGATGTCTCCCAGCTGATTATATTACTACTAATGCCAAAACTTGAAAAAAAAACACTGGTAAAATTTCCACACAGCCCCATACTACATTATGTATTCAGTTCTTGGATAGAGAAAACAATGACAAAAACAATACATTGCCACTGGGAAAACAGATTTGTTTTACAATAGTATGGGGCTGTGTGGAAATTTTACCAAAAAAAACTTGACAGCTTAAGAATAAAGAATAATGACTTTATTGGATAACACAATTACTGGTAAAACCAGTAGTTCTCATTGTGGTCCACTAAAACTTCAAATTCAAATAGCAAAAATGTGAAGTAAAAATACAGTTAAAAATTAGAAATTAATTAAAAATTTCTGCTTATAGTAAAATTATCAACTCTGGAGTTCTGATCTATATATTTCTTGTATAGTTGATTTTTAAATTTACAAAGGGAAGTGAGACTCCTAATGGCACTGTCTTGGTTATTCCATAATCTTAGTGTCACTTGCAAGGAATGAACGTTTGCCAGTCATAGTGCAAAAGAAAGGTGTGGATAAGTCCATATTAGTTGATGCCCGAGTTGTGTAAAGATGTCTATTTTTAACATAACAAATATAATGATTAAAGTAATCAGGACATTTCCCATGGATAATGTTATGCATAATACACAATTTCCTTTGCTCTATTATGTCACTAATGGGAATCCAACCTAATCTCTTAAAAAGGCCAACTGATCTTTCAGTGCTTGCATTTAAAATTACTCTGGCACAACATTTTTGAATTATGGGGAGCCTTTGTAAATTATCAATCTTAGTGTTTCCCCACACTGAACAACAATATTCAAATATTGGTTTAATTAAAGCATTGTATAGCTAATTCCTAAGTGATAAATTCAGGTACTTTCTGGCTCTTTTAAGAAGATTTTACCCTAGAATTTAATTTAGTGATCATGTAATCTATATGGCTATTTCAATTAAGATGCTTGTCTATCTTCACACCAAGCAACTTTTCGTTTACGGCCTCTTTGATTTCAGTGCCTTGCAACGAAAGGTTAAGCGATGGGTTTGTGCAGTAGGAAAGTTTTTGCTTGGTTCCAAGAAGTAGCTGTTTTATTTTCTTTGCATTTGGGACCATCTTGTTTAGCAAGAACCAGTGATTCGCTTTGTTGAGATTTCCCTGAAGTTGGATATGCAAAGGATTAGAATTAGCCATCCATAATGTAGTGTCATCGGCGTAAATATCCACATTGCAATCGGGTATTGCAAGTGGAAGGTCATTGATATGTAAGAAGAAAAGGATGGGACCCAAAATAGAACCTTGTGGGACGCCTCGAGTAATTGGTAGTGCGTCAGACAATGATCCATTGATACAACATCGCTGTGTTCGATCGTGTAGGTAAGACTCAAACCACCGCAGAGATGTATTATCAGTGTGGTACATACTGATTTTTGATAAAAGTAAGCTGTGATCTACCAGATCAAAAACTTTACTAAAGTCCAGCAGTACTGCGCCGATGATGTTTTGCACTTTTGGTGCAATTGCCTCAGCTTGTTCTAATTTTAAGCAGCATTTGTTTCAGTCAAATTAATTCTACTTCAAGTGAGTTCCAGGTTGTTTTTCTTTTAGGGACACTAGATGTTATGAAGCCATGTGCAGATGTTCTTTCAGTAATGTTTCCTATCAGACGAGATAATGGTGCATTTGAGCTTATCCAGGGTTATAGGGCACAGCACAGCCATCACAGGACTCCGTGCAAAGGAGGTTGGTTGGCTTATTTTCCAAAATGAAATAATTTAAAATAACAGTATGAACAAACATATTTTTGCATGCTAGACAGGGTTATTACAGCAACTCTTTCCTTCCAGCTGATTTTAGGCAGTTACTCTTTATTGGATCAGAATCAGAATGTGTATACTTTAGATGCTATAATATCAGGAGTGTAAAATTAAGACAATGATCTGATTGTGCAGTTGAGAGAAGCTCTGAAAAGGACTCTTGTTGGTCACAGAGTCTGATACATAAACAAAATGAGAGGAAGTAAATTTCTGGAGTCAGTGCATTTTACAGTTTATGTGTTCCAAACACTTTGCTTTATACACCTTATACATGGTCTTATTTTCAAGCCAAATACTCACTTGTGACCAAGCATAATGGCACTTGATATATTTTCAAGTTTTTGTTGTTAACATACTTGTCAGTTACATAAGCTGTATCATCTGGAACATCAAGGTAATTTTTGGTTTTTTGATGGTTAACTTAGCTTGCATTTAGTGGTGCTGTTACCTGAAATTTGGTGGTAATTACTATTGACATAGTTGCTGTGGATACCAGCTCAGTCTCAGCAAACCATGATATCTACTGTTGAAGTCCCTACTCAGCCACACATGTCTTTGTTGTAGATTTGTCATTTCTAGAGATGGATACAAATAATTTTGTTAGTTTGTATAGGTAATCACATGATTTCGAGTGCAACTTGGAATAAATAAGCATGAGTAAATTTTTTCAAAGACAAACAAAATTGCACAAGCCCATAGGGCTCGTGCAATTTGTGGTCTTTGAAAAAATTAACAAGTGCTTGTTTATTCCAAATTGCACGAGTAAAATCATGTGATTAAGTGTTAATAATATACATGGAAAAATACAAGATGGCTTATCAAAATTAAGCATAAGCAAAGTGCGCACATCAAGTGCAAAAATAATTTATTCAAACCTGCGTTCGGTCAAAACAACAATGTACGATTAAAACAATAATATGTGATGATATCTTCACATCTTTAAGGTGCAAAAAAGTTCAGAGTCTGACTAAACAGTTCAAGGAATTGTTCAGTATGTGTCCGAATCACTTTCGATGAAATGGAATCGTCATTTTCAAGGTTTAACCATGTTTGTTTTTAATTTCGGTGTTGGATCGCCAGAGCACAGTATTAAGCTGGGTTGGCTCATAATTTTCAATTTCCTTGGCAATTCCCTTCTCTAATCACCACTTTTTCCAAACCAACAACCAAAAAGCAGTGCTTTTTACAATGTTTTCGTTGTTTGAGCTGTTTTTCATCTGCAGTTGCAAAAGAAAGCCTACTTAAAATGCCAACCATTGTTTTGCTCGCAAATTTTCAAATTTTCAAATTTTGTTGTGATGTCCAAGGCTCACATTTGATTGGCTATCTGTGAGTTTCTCTGATTATTGACCAATCAGAATGTCTGATTTGTTACTTTTTTTGCACTGAATCAACCCCCTCCTGCACTGAATTAACTCTCTTCTGCACTGAATTACCTGAAAACTGCATTTATCTTAACCAATCAGAACTGAGAAATTTTTCCATGTATATTATTAACCGAGAAACCTAGAAAACAGTAAATACCAGAAATATTTCTTGATGGGTAAAGAAAAACCAACTGATGAGGTTCAAGAACTGGTGGCTGTACACAATAATGCTATTAAAATAGTTTGTAGTTTTGTGGCTCACTTTCATGTCCAATGTGGATGCTAACATTCTAGATATTTATGTGCATGGTTTTCTCAGAGTGACATCTATATATTAAATTTTTTTTTCTCCAGGTATTAGGTACAGTGATGATGTTGATATTGATGAAGTACAGGCATTGGCCACTCTTATGACGTACAAATGTGCAGTGGTAGATGTTCCTTTTGGTGGTGCAAAGGGTGGCATCAAAATTAACCCTTCAAAATACTCAGTATGTTTCTTGTTCTACATAGATTTTTATCTTTTCATTGGTTTTCATTCTCTGGTTTTGTTTTTAAGGCTTCTTTTGAGATGTAACTCTTCTCTCCTTAACTTCACTGTTTTTTTTTTTGCTTTGTCTTTCTTTTATAGCAACCTGAGCTGGAGAGGATCACACGCCGATTCACTGTGGAGCTTGCTAAAAAGAATTTCATTGGGCCTGGTCTTGATGTTCCAGCCCCAGACATGGGAACTGGGGAGAGAGAAATGAGTTGGATTGCTGACTCCTTTGATATGACTTTAGGTAAGTACATGACAATTTAATTTGTGATTTGGTGGCCTATTAGTAAATGAGCTAGACTCTTCTACAAAAGAGTTCCAGGTTCAAGCCCTGGTAAGGATCATTGTATCCTAGATGTTTCAAGACAAGATCCTTTACTCTCACAGTCTCTCTCTCTACCTTGTATAAATAGTTGAGTAGCTAATGAAAGCCAGATGCCTTCCAGAGTATTCAGATAGAACCCAAAAGTTGTGACTCCTAAGTTAGCCCAATTTGTTTTTAAAGTAATCAGAGCTGCTACCTTCAAATTGCATGTTGGCATATTGGAAGTTTGTCATAAGTCAAGCCCTTCAGACATTAAAGGGGACAGGCCATGCTACTTTATCATACACATTTGTCATGTATATGTATTATTTTGAATTGCATTCACTACAGGTTATGGTAACATGAATGCATATGCTTGTGTCACTGGGAAACCAATTCATCTTGGAGGAATTCATGGAAGAGTGTCAGCCACAGGAAGGGTAATATATTTTTTATTCTTTCAGATTTTCCTATTTTTGAATTTATTTTTCTGATTTGTAATAAATAAAATTATGAGAAATTAATCTGTGACCTAATTCCATTTTCAGGGTGTTTACCATGGAATAGAAAATTTTATAAGTTCAGGTATATTGCATTCAAAATTTGCAAAAAAATTATTTTTTAGCATATTTGTAATTATGTTTATATATAGCAATTCTTAGACTTGGGCTCTTAAAAGAGCTACAAGTACTTCTAGTAATGAAATGAAGAGTTTTTTTTTTGTGATGTGTTTGTTGTATGTTATAGTAAGCATGTTATTTTGTTCCATTGTCTAAAATAGATAGTATTCAAAGGACAAACTTCTACTAGCTTTGATGCTTTTATAATGTCCAAAGGATATGATCTTTGGACCAGGCTTTAGATTAAGAATTCTAGAAGTCTACTCTGTGTTTGAATGTGTAATCTACACATGGAGGGCAGTGTCAATTATTGCGGTGATCCATATTTAATGGGTCATCCATGTGTGTCAGACTTAAGCTCAGGTGACTCACATTTTGTCGTAAATGATCTTGCGACAAACAATCACACTGGTTTGATGTACATTATTTTCATTTTCCTACTCACTAGTAGTTCCAATCTGTCAATCAATCAACCCAAATTATCTATCATATTTCTGTACTTCTGTCATGAATCTATCAACAAATTCAGTGTTATGCTTTGCTCAAATTAATTGCATCCCTTCTCAGGGTTCACCTATTGTGTCACAGATAAAGACCTTAAAGACTGGTTTTTAGGTTATAGTGATAGAGTTAGAGGAGAGTTGTTATCAAAAGCTATGATCTTCTGAATATCAGGATTTGTTCTAGCTCTTAACTAACATTTTTTCTGCTCCAATTGTGACTTTAACATCATGATGAGCTCTGAAAGGGTAGAAAAATTGTCAAGGCAGCCTTAAGAGGCTGGGTGGATGGTACCTATATATAGTACAATTGATGGGGGGATGGTTTGATACCCAACTAAGTTTGGAAGACATTGACATTGTGCTCTGTGACCATGTTAGCTGGGTGTTCTGCACTCTAGTTGTACAGTAGTGTCAAGGTGCTGTCTAAGGGGAGTAATAACACCACTCATTCACTTCACAAAAATTAACACAAAGGTTTAAGCTCTGATCTCTTAACCCTTTATACCCTAGCATCAGTATGGATATTCTCCATACTGTTCTCTATACATTTCTTAAGGTGCTGACAAGGGGAAATTATTTAACAATCAAGAGATTCTTTAGTTAGTAAAATTTCCTTTATTCTAGTAATCTTCTTTGATTCAGAGGCAATATTGTAAGGAGAAATTAGATGCTGGTCACTCTTAGGGGTCAAAGGGTTGAACATAAAATAGTCAAAAGGAGGAATGACACTAAAATACAAATGCACATCAGCAAAGTTCAGTTCCCATAGGGCCACATGTACAATGATCTCAGTTGATACATGAAAACTACAAATGTCTCTTCAGTTCCTCTCATTCATCCTTAGTCTTTTTTCTTTGATTCTTTTGTGTTAGGTGTCAGGAAGCTATGGCATACACCCTGCATATCTGTAAGAATATTAATTGGCATGCAGGACTTAGAGAAATCTGTACAGGCAAAGCAAAACAACTGATAGTAAAATAATGTTAATACTTTCTGCCTTTTTCAGAAAAATATGCTAAATTGGTTGGCCTAGAACCTGGTCTTCGAGGGAAGACATTCATAGTTCAGGTAATTATTAAAAAGAATGACCATTGCTAATATGAAACATTGTCAGTCATGTTGGAAAAATGTTTGCTATATGTTCATTGTTAAAAAAAGAGAGGAAATGTAAAGTTGCTTTACATAATTTAAAGTTGCTTTTAAGTTGTCCTGGAACATTTGCATTTATTTGATAAACACAAAACTGATATGGAGAAGAGATAGCTGGGTGTTGGCTCAACCTGCAGGAGATTTTCTGGATTTCTCTGCCTTTCTAAGCAACCCTTCGATATTTTTTTAGGTTTGCCTCAACAGTTTAATTACCATTTACCAAGTTATAAAGAGAGAGACTGTGACAATAAATTGTTAATTAGTATATATCACACACTTAGATAAATAAGTTATAAAGAGAGAGACTGTGACAATAAATTGTTTTAGTATATATCACACACCTAGATAAATAGTGCTTTTCATGTATGCTGACTGGCCCAGCTGTAAAGAGAGGCACTGTGAGAATAAATTGTTTTAGAATATGCCACACACTCAGGTGAATAGTGTTTTTTGTGAATGCTGACTGGCCTAGTTATAGAAAGAGGCACTGTGAGAATAAATTGTTTTAGAATATGCCACACACTCAGGTGAATAGTGCTTTTCATACATGCTGATTGGCTGGTTGGGAAGTGATTGGCAAGTACTATTCACCTTTGAGCAGCCAAAGAGACAAAATACATCAACAATTAATTTCTGACCATCTTTTGGTACATTGATGGAAATAAACTAATTTTTATATGCTAAAACGATGATTCACCTCAGTATTGGTGAAAGTGGTGTAATTGTTAATTACTTCAGAACAAAAAACACAATAGTGCTGCCAGAGCTTGGATGCAAATCTTTTGACCTGATGTTCAACACACCACCAACCATTAGCCACTTTGTGTCCTCTACTGATGTGTAAGCATGTTTTAAGTGGCATAAGTGTAAACTAAAACAGTGGCCAGATAGCATTGAAGGTGCACTCTAATTGGCTGCTCAAACTCTGAATATCCTTTGTTTTTGACTGTCAAGCAACTTGTGCAGGGTTTGTGCCCAAAAAGGTTGTAATTGTTTGTTGTTGGAATAAAGGAGTTAAAATCATCTTTTTGTGCTTTATTATCTCATTGTTTAGTAAATATTAAAACATTTATTCACCTCAGTGTGGGTGGCTGGCGGTGAATATTTACCTCACTATATCGTGGCTTAGTAAATATCTATAACCAGTCACCTCCACTTTGGTGATGAATTGTTAAATAAGTTCAGTAATTCATGACTTCTTTTTAATGTTTATAGGGATTTGGTAATGTTGGTCTTCACACCTGTCGTTATCTTCACCGTGCAGGAGCTAGGTGTATTGGGATCATGGAGAGAGATGGAAATCTCTTCAATGCAGATGGAATTGATCCTAAAGAACTTGAGAACTACAAACTGGTACAATGTGAAGCTTTTTACACGCAGAGTTCTCTATAGTGTCTTTTTTATAAGTTTTATTTTAAAATGTCTTCGGCTTACATTTGTTTATTGTTTCCCTTTTTCTCCAGGACAACAATGGCTCAGTTAAAGGATTCCCAGGTGCAAAGGTTTGTGAAATGCTGTGAAAAAAAGTAACTGTCAGTAATTTTCACCTTTATGTAAGGTTTCGCCAATTTGTCATGGCTAATTAACATTTTTTGCTTAGGTTTACTTACTCAAGGAAATGCTACTCTGTTGATTCTGGTCATCAAAGTCCTTAAATAAGGAATAATGCAGTGAACTGTTAGGGACATAAATTTGTAATGAAGTTGCTCCTTCCTCCTAGAATATAAGCAAGTTGAAATGTTATATGCTGGTTTACCTGAGACCTTCAGAATGGATTAATGCTTTCAAGTTAACATTCTGTTCACCTCTTACTCAGTTGGAAAAAGCCTCAAAAACCTGGTGCAGTCAATTGACAAAATTATTAAATAAATAATTGTAGACATTGATTTTGAAAAATAATTACAATCATGCAATGTTTCAGATGACCGAGGAGAACCTTCTAGAAGCAGAATGTGACATATTAGTTCCTGCAGCCAACGAAAAACAAATCACCCTTAAAAATGCCCACAAAATCAAAGCAAAGGTACTCTGTTACTAGTAGTATTTATTTAATAATATTTAATTTTTGGGCTGTTATTTGGTTGTTAGGTTTTCAAGCTTGGTTGCTCATTAGTGAGAAAGGTTATCCCAGTTTGTAAGGGAATGGGAATCTATAGTAATTTGTCAGGGTTTTCTGACACATTTAGGGATGTTAATTTTCGGTTGACCTTTTAACTATCATGAGTGACATTGACACAATTACTCCTTACAATATCAAGAAGACAAGTGATGAGTATAAAGAAAAATATCAATTAGTGGATTATTAGTGGATCCAATACCAAATTCTCCAAACTAACGTAAGAATTGTACGGTAGACAGTAAGGAGAATTACTAATGAGATCTTTGGAGTGAAATGGTTGATATAATTTGCTTTTTTACAACGCACAACATAAATGTTTCAATCACTTATAGAATTCGTCCCACTTGATCCAGAGTTTGCCATGCTTAACGCTAGACCACCTTACTTCTCTTTGCAGTTGTTCGATACGTTAATTTTACTTCATGCTATCTCAATCTTTCCTCTCAACAGAATTGTAATAAAGTTCGGAAATAAGGCACAAAGAAGAAGGAAGAAACACTCAACTGCGTCTCGTGTTTCTCCTTCGCTTCTTTCGTGCTGTAGCTGCTTCTTGCTTGCTTTACAACAGAACAAAATATAGTAAAGACTTCTTTATCTGTTAAAATTAACTAATAGTTAGACAACTTCACCTTTACGTGAATAGTAGAAAGTGGAGACCATCAGTTAAGTCTTTTTTTTCTTGATTACTCTACTTTGTGTTCTCAGGTTATTGCTGAGGGGGCAAATGGACCGACCACACCTGAGGCAGAGAAAGTTCTAATTGAAAATAAGAAACTCGTTATTCCAGTAAGTTTACAACGAAACAGCAAGTGCAATCTGAAGTAAATTTGGATATGAAGCTCTGACTTGTGTTTGTTTATCGTAATTAATTTTTGCACCAGAGGCATGGTTTGAGCTGAAATGTTTTATATTGTGACCATGTAGGACTTGTATTTGAATGCGGGAGGTGTGACGGTATCCTATTTTGAGTGGCTGAAGAACATCAATCATGTCAGTTTTGGACGTTTGACTTGGAAATACGAGAAGGAGGCAAATTTTAATCTTTTAGGTGAGCTTGTCTTTTCACTAAGAATACGTTAAATGATGGATCTTCATCATTCATTTTGTATTTATAGATAAGCAATTTTACTATGAGTATCAAGTTATTTAAGATAATATTGTCTTCGCCATATGAAATAGTGAAATATGACTGAGAGCATAAATTGCAGTTTCCTTTCAACCTCGAACTCCCATCACGACCAATCTTTTGAATGCCCTCTTAGATACAAATGTATTGTACAAGTGCTGCTATTTGATTATCTCTTAGTGTTTATGCATGTTTGTCTCTTCTTCGACAGGTAGCGTCCAAGAAAGCCTGTATAATCATTTCAAGGAAGCCATTCCAATCAAACCGTCGGCTGAGTTCTTGCAAAAGATCGCTGTGAGCATTGCTTTTTATTTTTAGTTTATGTGAATACGCTCCTAGTACTGGATTTGTCTGCGTGGTTATCTAAGTGGGCACCCCTCCTTAGAAATTCTGGTGCGCCAACTCTCCGCCGCCTCTGCAACCTTGAGATGTTTATTCACAATCGATATTTTTTTTTTCATTATCTTGAAGAAAAAGGTTTACATGTAATTTCGTTTGAATTCCCAACTGTCTTGTAAACCCTGAGCTGCAAGATTTGTACATGATCTTCCAATAAGATTTGTTTTCTCCCAAAATGTAATGTAGTCTTTTAATTTTAAACTTTTGTAATCTTCTAGGGCGCGAATGAAAAAGATATTGTTCATTCTGGATTGGAGTTCACCATGGAACGATCAGCTAAGGTATGTCGTCACTGATTCGAGGTTTTCTTCACGAAATTACGTCCATATTTGTCCTTACCTTGGGTGCTGAGCCGTCAAAACAGGGCCCACGTTTGATATTTGGAAAACTGCGTCGAGTATATCACGTCATAACATACTGGTAGCATTCCTGGGAAATTAGTAATAAGTGTAAAACAAATTTCCCTTTTGGTCCGGTAATAATAAGCAGTTATTGGATGAGTTTGAGCATGACATTCTACACTTAATGTATGGTCCCGAGGGAAACAGTTAGTATTGTTTTCCCGAGAGTTCTGATGTTTCCCGTGACGAAGTCGAGGGAAACATCAGGAAACAAAACTAACTAAAAAACAAAACTAACTAATTTCCTGAGGGACCATACCTTAAGTGCTTTGTTATATATTTTATTTTTACAATCATGTGCTGTTGTATTCGGCGCGCGGGCAACGACTGCGCAATTGTATTCCGGTCGGGATACATTCGATTTTGATCAGGGGCACGTGACCAAGAATCAAACAATCACAGTTCTCGTTTTGTTGAGTGAAAGTCAATCACAGTTCTCGTTTGAATTATCAAAACCGAGGTCTGAGTCATCTGCCGAAACCGAAGGCTGAAGCAGATAAAACAAACATGAGGTTTGGTAATTCATGAGATTTTTCAAAAATGTATCATAACGATGATGATAACATTAATGGACCACTCACCCAATGAAAATTTATAGGGCCAATACGAACAAATTGTAAATAAGCTAAGGAAGCCGACCAGTTGGCTTTATATTAAGCGAGGCCAAGAAATTGAACTCAGGGTATCGAGAACAAATCCAGTAATTTTGGACTTTTCTTCGTTAAAAAGTGAATTTAACTGTGATTTTTCTTTTCCTTTTTAGCAAATTATGCACTGTGCTAGTGAGTACGAACTGGGTCTAGACATAAGGACAGCTGCGTATATCGTGTCCATGGAAAAAGTCTACAACACATACACTGTGGCTGGTTTCACATTTACATAATCCTCCTGTGAAAATTGACCAGTGATTAATTCTTAGATAATTTTCATTTGGCTAAATTTATGAATGAGCTTTTCCATGGAGGATATTTATTGTAAAAGCATCTACTGCAGCGGTCATGCGTCCATGATGATTGTGTGTCTGTGTAAACTGGATGAAATGAATGACAACGTTTTGTTGCCTTTTCTGAATTTTGAATCACATAGCAGTCGCATTCTTTGGTCATAGCTGTTCTTGAAACAACGACACTTGACATAGCTGTCGCACTTTTTAGGTCATAGTTGTTTTTGAAACCGCGACGTTACGACAGAAATAGACAATAAAATGAGAAAATGAGAAAATGTTCCATCAATAAATAACGGAAAGCTCTTGTCACTTTTAATGGGCTTGATTTGTTACTCCTAATTTCTGTGGGATCTCCTTGGGGAACCTGCGATCTTCTCTTTTCATGAGTGAGATCTTGTTTCGCCACAATTTGATGAGAACTGTAAGTTAAGATTATTTTACTGAGAAGTGAAAAAAAAAAAAACGCACGTTTTAACTATTTATCTGATGTGTTTTTCGTACTCCAGTTTTCCCCGTTAAAATTAAACTCGTCATGGAGTGTGCTGCTTCTTGATCGGTTCTTTTTGTAACCATTTAGCTCTTCAGTGCACAGGGACGTAAAGAAATTCAAAAGTCAAACATCTTTCATAGCGCGCATTTCCTTTTGTACTATTGTGAGTTACTTAACGCTCTATCTCCAACTAGTTAATTTTAGTGTTCTTTTCTCTTGAACACCTCGGCATGCATGTCTTTAATGTGCGGTAACATACGCTTTATGTACCACTTATATTTGCTCTTGTCGGTTTACTAAATTGTAATGGTGAGTGGAGCTAAAGTATTGAAAGTAATAAAAGAGACTCGTCTTTCAGGAAGTTGTGTCACCTTCAGGCTTAGGGCTCCGCCCTTTCTTCCTGAGGAACCGGAGTGCGCGTGCGCAGTTTTCTCGGAAATTAGTTGCGTGACTTGCATTGTCGTGATGTCTTGTATCCGCCATGTTGGATCCATAAAGAAACACCAGTTACGGGATTATAAAGCCTTTTGCAAATAGGAAGAGAGAATTCCTACGGTCATAGATTTAGTATGTCTGCCACTGAATACAATAACTTACTCCTCGCAATAAGCCGGAAACTCGACGAACTGATTGCACTCGATGACCTTCTGTTCATGTGCAGAGGGAAGCTGGCGCCTGGCAGCGAAGGCAACATCCACGATACTCTGTCGTTGTGTAAAGAGTTGGAGGAAAATAATAATTTAGGAATTGATCGCCTCCAGCTAATGAAAAGGCTGTTGAGGGGTGTCGAAGACTGGGCTCTTCTTGAAAAGGTGGAGAAATTCGAGTGCAAAAGAAAGGAATACAAGGCCTTGCTTGAAAAGGTTATTTCTTCACTCGACGCGCTCAATGATCTGGAACGACTGATCGCGATATGCAGGGGAAGTGTTCGCGAAGGGAGTGAAGGCAACATTGAGGATGTTCGCTCGCTGTTTAGAGAACTGGAGAACCAAGACAATCTTGAGATTGACTATCTCGATGTTGTGAAGAACATTCTAGCTGAAACAGAGTCAAACGAGCTTTTGAAGGAACTCGAAGAGTTCGAAGAACGAAGAAATCGGGAAGATAAATCCGAAGCGAGGAAAGGTATTTCAATCTCTGTTTTCTGTTTTTAATGGTCAACAATAACTTTTATATATATGTTTCGATGAAAAGTATAAAAAGTCCTTAGTATTTGTAACGCTCTTGTCCTCTACAAGCTGAATATCATCCGGGTTCGAGCGAGGGAATTAAGGAAATGTTCAAGTAGGGCACACCATTAATCTTCGGTTATAGGGAAACAACACCGCAAAGAAATGCGACAAAACATGAGAGACAGGTTGATTCTTTTTGTAGACGCATAACAGTCTGGTCTGAAAGTCTGAAAGTCTCGCGTTTGTTTCGTGTGTTAGTGGACTTGTTTCACTTACTCAGCTCTCGAAATTTTTGTTTACCAATTAGTAGAAGTTGATAATACTTACTGAATTAATCGCTTCGTTGGGCTCACGGTTATCTTTGCCACCAGACAATCAGTTGTCTGCATAAGATGAAATTCTATGGCATACAATTCTAATAAATTAATTGAAAATAATTAACCCTATTTTAAATGTGAAATTTAAAAAACGAGCACCAGAACTTTGAGGGCAATGCTTAAAACAACTTATCTCTGTGATAGATGTGAAGGTCAGTTTGATCCTCAACAAACAAAATTATTTACGATCCTACCTGCAGTGTAAAATAGAAAGGAAGGTTGCAGGTAGGGTTTATCTGTCGAGGCGTATACAACCCTGTTCCCAGCTTCTTTTACCTTATCCTTTCTTGAGGAATGTTGAAGTGTGTAGGCTGGTTGTCTTTGACATCATCTCGTAGGAGGCTGTAAATCCTCTGAGTTTTAGCCTCGAGAAAGTAGGGAGAGATACCACATGTGATATGAAAAATCATGTTATTAACTCAGACATGAGGACTGACAGGGGAGCTTTCCACCACAATATTTACCTCCTAAAGAACTGTTTTGTTTTAGTATCCCTCCTTGAGTAGGTTACCAACTATCTTGAGATCCTTGTCCTTAACCTTCAAGTGGGCTTATTTAACGGTGCAGCTGACTTAGTTACTAAGCACTCTTAATGTAAATCTCATGAAAGAGAGAAAGAACCTGAGACAGCTTTCTTTGATAGAGTTGTAGTTCACTAAACTGACTGACACCTGTTGTTCCATTTATATAGCACAAAGAGCTGCTCTTATGTCATCCGTCAGAAGCACATTGGTAGGAGGTAAGCCAGTAAAAAAATTTTTTGGTAAATTCTCTTAAAAGGGCTCACCCTGTCCCTTGGACTTGACAGTTTAAGACAATAAGGGAGTAGAGGACAGGGCCATTATCTAAAAGTCTTGGCTCCAACAAAGAGTCAACATGAAACATATTCTTTTTTGCGGTTCGAGTTATCCTTGGTAGAATGAGTCATATCACAAAACATATACATAATTTTATTATTTTCAGTGGTGAACATTAAAACAGTATTCAAAGTAGTTGCTGGCGGCCTTACAGTCGTTTCTGCCATGGAGGTGTTGAGTCGTTGGTCCTCATTTGATCAGCTGGTTGCAGCCGTACAAACCTGTGTGCTTCCAGCCGGCACAAGGCTGGTTCAAATCACAGATGGCTGTGTGTGCCTCACAGTTCAAGCTGAAAGTTTATCAGCTCTTAAACTTTTGTGGAAGTTGTATCAGGATGGAACCCTTCAAAAACATCTGCACGATTTCTTTGTCACTGATGAGGTGAGAGAACTCGCCGATGGAGAGGATGTGGAGGTGAATGTCACCATCGATGAAG